GGGCCCAGGCTGGATTCAAACCCGCCACCTTAGGTGTATGTGGCTGGTGTCTTAGCTACTTGAGTCACAAGCGCCAAGCCTTGCCTGGTTCTTTTAAGACCAACGACAACTAGATACACATAGACCAGTCTGGGATGAGAACAGGCTTTCACAGGGCTGACTTTGACCTCCTGAGAGCCTTTGTGAAAGTGGGGGCACCAAGAGGGCAGTTCTCTGACATTTTCTTGGTTGAGCTGAGATGCCTGTGGAGCCTGGTTTCTGAGGAGCAAGGTCTTCCCTGGCATCGCACAGATGACGTGATCACTGGATCTGCCCCATCATTCCTGTGGAGACCAGGCAGTGGCTTGACAGTGGTATTCTCCATCTATGCAAATGGACCATGGCCGGCCCCTACCTAACGCAGCTTGATTAAACTCTCCAGGCAAGAGGAACCTGGGAGAGCAAGGCTGGCCTGCAGCGTCTCTACATCCTCACCCCTATTGTTTGTGACTGCCACACAGCTCATGCCTCAAACTCCCTGTCACTTTTGTAGACCCTTTGTGATACCTTTTCTTAGTGCATTCTCTTCTTTTAAGGGTCACATTCCTGGTTGGGCCATTTTTGGACTTGTTCAAATGTTCTCTTGATTAGTTTTCTGTGTGAGGGTGTCATAGTTGCAGTGATGATCCTGGGTTTTCTGCAGCAAAAAGTCAACTAGGGTTTTCTTTACCTCACTTCAACAGAAATGTATCAAGCATCTACTACATGTGTGAGAGAAATGGAGTAGTATCACTTCATTTCACTTCTGTGCCTCAGGGTGATGCTAATGGGATGGTTGGGGGAGGGCAGGATGCTGTGACATCAGTTTGCCTGATTCCGCTTCATTTGGAGGCCTGGCCCTGTCTGGGTCTTTAGAGAGGCCAGGTGTCCAGCAGCACTAATAGAAAGCAAACTCCTTGTCACCTCTTCCTCCTGTATTCAAGGACCTCCTGAGTCCAGACTGAGACTTGGCCAACCTCAACTCCTGCCAAAACCTTCACAGCATCCTGGACACCCTGCAATGCCTAGCAGCGCTCTCTCTTGAAGACTTCAAGTGCTTCTATCCTCTGGACCTTTCCATGGGCTATTCCTGCAGTCCCCACCCTCTCCTCCCTTCTTTCTTCCCTGCCTCTTAAGGACTGAGCCAACGGATTTATCCATCTTCTCTGAGACCACCTTGCATAAATTATTTCTTCCTCTCTGATTCTTACTTTGTTATTATTTCACCTAAAACTAATCTGGCTTATCTTGCTTTCTGCCTGGAATGGGAGTAATTCACACCTGATCCTCAGTGCCTTCAGGACTGGGGCAGAGTCTCCAGGATGTTTGTGTTTTGCACTTTGTCAAAAACTGTCAGATGGACAGATGGCTTCTAGACTGGGCTCTGCCCACTAATTAGCCCCGTGGTCTCAAGAGAATCGTCCAGCCTCCCTGGCCTCTCTTCCTTCTGAAGAAATAATGGTGATGATACCTTAGGGTTGTCCAGGGTACAATGAGGCGGAGCAGGGAGAAGCCTCAAGAAATCTGGGAGCCCCAGGCCAATGAAAGCTGTAGAGTGGTAGTACTCCCTTTCTCCTTACCGCGAGTGTGCGGCAGCATCGTTTCCTCTTCGCTCTCCCGGAATGTCAAGTGCACCAGCTTCCAATCCCTCCGTGGGGCGGGCTCTTGAGCATCTCGGAATCCCAGGCTGCGGAGGATTCCAGTGTAAACTCAGGACTCTCCTCCCAGTCCTGCCGCTGCTTCCCAAGGACTCGCCGCACACACCTTGAACCCCGCGCCAGAGCGCAGTTCAGAGCGCAGCCCGGAACTGCAGCTCCGCGGCGCGGGCCCAGGTCGGGGGTCGCGCGTTTCCAGTCGGTGACTCAGAGCCGCTTAGTCTGGAGGTGGGGGTGGGTAGGCGGGACAGCAGCCGGAGGCAGCCACTGGGCGTTCGGTCACTGAGCGGTGGGAACCGAGGCTGGTTCTGGCCAGTCGCCATTCCGCCGCGGGCGTCCGTCTCGCTGGGTTGCCGGAGCAGGAGGAAGGCCCGCACCGCCTCCTACCCGGCGCGCTCTTCCGCCGCTGCACCGCTGCGGGGTCGGTTGGCCGGCGGTGGCTGGAGAGCGGGATCCGCTCTGCGCGCGAATGAATGGGCGTCCGGGGCACGCGCGCGCTCGGGGCTGAAGGGCATTAGGACCGTGAGGATCGCTCGGCGCTCCTGTCTCTCCTATCACCCCCCCCCCAACCTTTCTCCTTTTTCTGCTCTGCAGGACTGAGCAGCCAGGCGCGAGCGAAAACAAACAGCTGGGGCTCCGAGCGCCCCCGCGGCCCCAAGAGTACGCCGGCCCCGGCCCCCATCCAGGGCGCCTGTCCGCCTACAATGAGGAAGATCCGCGCCAATGCCATCGCCATCCTGACCGTAGCCTGGATCCTGGGCACTTTTTACTACTTATGGCAGGACAACCGAGCCCACGCAGCATCCTCCGGCGGCCGGGGCGGGCAGAAGGTCGGCGGAAGGCCGGAGCAGCTCCGTGAGGACCGCACCATCCCGCTCATTGTGAGTAAGCCCCGCGCCCCGGGCGGCTGGCAGGGGAGCAGCGGCGCGCGTCCTGCCCCCGAGTGGCGACCGAGGGCGCGGGGCCCGGCAGGGGGCCGAGTGCCCGCTGCGCGGGCCGGCTTTGTATATGTTGGAGCATTCCTGCCCGTTGTTATGGCAACCTCTGCGGGGCTGCTGGGGCCAGGGCGCACTGACGATGGGAGGGTGACAGCGGGTGGGGGCTGGGATAAAGTGCTGCAAGTTTGGTGGGCCCGGCGCGCGCGCGACTAGGAACGTGGCGGCTCTCCCGGCTCTGCGCTGCGGGGGCCGGGGGCTGGGGGACTGCTGGCGCCTTGCCGGCCCCGGAAGGCTGGACCTCGCACGCAGCTAGCCGGCGGTGGGAGCCACTAGCAGCTGAGCGCGTGGGTGGCGGTGCGCACCCCTTCTCTAGCCTCCTGGGGGCAAAGGACAGGGGGCTAGAGCGCAGATAGGGAAGGCTTTCTATGCGCTGCTCCTTGCTTCGCGTCCCCTTTTGAGCTTGGGTCAACTTGAACCAGCTTCTTCCTCACGGACACCCCGCACCCCCAGAGCTCTCTGGGTACTCGCCCTCTACCCGCAACATTAGGGTCCACTACTACTAGTAGGCAGGCGGTGACCACATTCGGGCTTGGCCATTCCCTCGCATGAGGTGAGCCCCGTGACATCTAAGCTAGCGGGGAAACAAAGGCGGCGTGCTATGATGGGGCCCTTGGCACTTCGGGGACCCAGGCGGGAGCGTGCGGAGCCCCTGACGTCCTGCAGGGGGCGTTCCTGTCGCTGCCTTCACTCGGCCGGAGGGTGACAGCTTGGTGTGGCCACGCAGGGGCCGGCACCTGTTGAAGCGGGAGGCTCTGGGAGCTGCCGAGAGCGCTCTCCGCTGGGCGCGTTCTTCCGACGGGGGCAGGTGGTGGACAAGAGCTTGGGGCGCCCCTTGGGAGGGACTGCTGCATGAGGGCGGCCTGGCCAAACAAGGACCAGGAGCCAGAGAGCAAAGAGTGGGGCGGGGCTGGGGTGGGGATGATTCCGACATGAAAAAATATGGGCCTGGAGGAGGACAGGGGAGGACCGCCTGGAGGGGCGGGTCACAATGCCTGAATCTTGTGTAGAATCCAAGATACTAGTCCTGAATCCCAGGAATATGGGGAGAGTCACTGGGGAATGCCCTCTCCTATTCCCATCCTGCCCCAGTTTCTGTGTCCCCTGCAGAGGGACCATTATTTCCAGGCCTTGGCTGAGGAGACCTGGGGAGGGGAGGATGAGGTTGTAGGATTTGTCCTAGATCCCAGTCTGGATGAGCTCTCTGGGGGCAAACCTGATTGAGTATCTTGTTCCCTTCTGGGTATGGGACCTGTTCCTAGGATACTGTTTCCAAAGCACTTGTGGCTGCTTGTACAGAAAGACTGATGAGGAAAATCCTCCTGTGCTGAGTCCCCCGGAGTGGAGAGCAGGGAGGACTGACAGGTGGGAGCTGGAACTAGACAAACCAATGGAGGCCCCCAGGACCCCAGGGAGCTTCCACCCCAGGAACTCGAAAAACACACCAGGAACTCTCACTTTTTTTTTTTTGAGACAGAGCCTCAAGCTGTCCCCCTGGATAAAGTGCTATGGCATCACAGCTCACAGCAACCTCCAACTCCTGGGCTCAAGTGAGTCTCCTGCCTCTGCTTCCCAAGTAGCTGGGACTACAGGCACCCACCACAACGCCTGGCTATTTTTTGGTTGCAGCCATCATTGTTGTTTGGCAGGCCCGGGCTGGATTTGAACCCACCAGCTCAGGTGTATGTGGCTGGCGCCTTAGCTGCTTGAGCCACAAGCGCAGAGCTGGAACTCTCACTTTTTAAGAGGACCAACCCTGGTCTCAGGAAAGGCTAGTAGCTGCAGGGACAAGGCAGGCTGGCCAGAAGCTCTGTGCCTCTTTCTGGTGAGGTGATGGGAGGAGGTGTGAGCTAGAAAGGGAGGAAAGGAGAGAGCACAGGGAAACTGCTGCTCAGAGCCTCTGCTTCAGAACTCTGAACCCTGAACCCTGACACCCCTGCCCTGGAGGACTGAGAACTGGGGGCTGTGGGCAGTGCCAGTGAACATCCTCTTGCCCCTCCCTATTCCCACAGAGTTTGACTTGCTGCAGATGAGAAGAGGAAGCTAAGTTTAAAGTGCCAAGGAGGATCAGGGAAATACCTGGGAGCCCAGAGGTAAAGGTGCAGGAGGAGGCTCGGCGCCTATAGCTCAACCGGCTAAGGCGCCAGCCCCGTACACCTAAGGTGGCGGGTTCGAATCCCCAGCCCGGACCCGCCAAACAACAATGACGGCTGCAACCAAAAAATAGCCGGGCGCTGTGGCGGGTGCCTGTGGTCCCAGCTACTTGGGAGGCGGAGGCAGGAGACTCGCTTGAGCCCAGGAGTTGGAGGTTGCTGTGAGCTGTAATGCCACGGCACTCTACCCAGGGGGACAGCTTGAGGCTCTGTCTCAAAAAAAAAAAAAAAAAAAAAGGTGCGGGGGGAAGGGGAGGATGGGAGTCCTGGGGAGCCACTTAGGGGCACAACCAGTTCTCTCTCTGTTCTTAAATGTAAGTGCTGTAGGTCTGTTCCTCCTGCGTTGGCCCCCAGCCACACGCTGGCTTTGACACTCACTGCCTTGCATTGTCGTCCTGTCTTTGAGTTATTCCACTTCTGTGTGATTTTCAGGGACTATGCTAGAAACTCCTTGCATCCCCACACTGTTACACAGCAAGACTTCTTAAAGGAATAAAATAGGATTTTTGCCCATTTCTGGCATCAGTCAATGAATGGCCCAATGTTCACATTCCCTTATTGCCAGGTCCAACCTGACTAAGTAAGGAGGTCAGGGAATGCATATTCAAACTTCTCTAGGAGTTGAACCTTTTATCAGCTTAAAAGGGGCAGGTGCAGCCAAAGAGTTGCTTTCTGCCTGAACTTTGTGGTAACTAATCACTATCTTTGCTATTCTGAAACATTTCTCTACTTATGAAATTGAGCCAGGACGATACATGTGGATTCTTAGATTCTTAGAGAGTGATGTGGCCCGCTTTGCTGTCAGAGGCTAGGCAAATTCAGACAAGCGTCATCATCACTCCCTTGGGGAATGAGAGAGCTGAGCTGGGAAAGGGAGGGTCTGTAGCCTAGACCAGGCTCTTTTTACAATGTCTGGGCTATTTGAAGCCAGCCAAATTGCTTCTGGACCTTGGAGACGCCTGTTTGGCATTATGGGGTGTCGGCATGGCAACTGTAAGGCCAGATTTCTCAGAGAGGTCCTGATTTTTAATATTCTGTCCTGCTGTCAGTCTATGTGTCTCAAATTTTAATGTGAAAAATTTGGTTATTGAATCTGTAAAACTAAAGGGAGATACTGATTCTATTCCTATCTGGCTGCTTATGATGCAGCAAGGGTTTTGATTTTTCTGTGCTATACTTCATGGGCATGGCCGTGGATTTGGTGGTAGCCCCTTGAATCTACATTGATGCATGCTGGCACAGAACAGCAGCCAAAGTGGGAGGTGGAGCAGAGACAGCTACCCCTGAGTTTTCTGGCCTTATAGTCGGGGAAAGCATTTGTGATGGTTGTGTTTAGGGTTTGGGATTCAGCTTTCCATACGTCAGTTCTCTTACAGGCATGGGTGGGAGAGTAAGATGTTACATGGAATTTGATTTTACATTTTGGGCAAGACTTTTCCTAAACTGGAGTTTCTTTTCTTTTTGAGATGGAGTCTCACTGTGTCTCCCAGGCTAGAGTGAAAGGGTATCATCATAGCTTACAGCAACCTCAAATTCCTGGGCTCAAGTGTTCCTCCTACCTCAGCCTCCTGAGTAGCTGGAACTATAGGTGCCCACCACCACGCTCACCTAATTTTTTCTATTTTTAGTAGGGATGGGGTCTAACTCTTGCTCAGGCCAGTAAACTGGAGGTTCTTATCCTGAAATTGGGATATTTTTTCAGGATATTTTGTCCTGAGTGACCATGGATAAAATACTTCCCATGTCTAGATCTTGGTTGTTTTGTGGGTAGAATTTTGGGTTAAATGATTTATTTGCAAGGTTTGTTGATTCTTAGGTAAGCAGATGACAGTTTCATTTCCAGAAATAAATAAATAGCTTTAAGGGAGTTCTCCCGAAAGGTGTTCCATGGTTTATGCTTGCAGAGGGATGTGGCCTTGCCAGAGAAGTTGCCACAGTAACCCTTCAGGCCTTGCAGGGAGAGAAAGGGACACAGATGATGGCTTTTCTAGCACTGTTCTCCGAGAGCAAAAGCTTTGATAAGATCTGAATGAGTGCATATTTTATTTATAATGTTTGCATTTTGGAGCTGTGGGAATTTGATTTGCCTAAATGACAGAAAATGATTTTGTGTTTAATCCGCCTAGGGGCCACACTTGAGAAAGAGAGTGGGGAAGGAGAAGCACAAACACCCCCAGTTCCCTTTGCCAAAAAGTTCAGATTTAAAGGGCCTCATTTCCTGTCAATGGGGTCTGTTCATGGGCCATTTTGAGACCTGTTTGTGAGACATGGGGACAGCCCAGGGGCTCCCAAGTTGGTGGGGCCCCTGACAGCCCAAGAGTCTTTCTGGAAGGCCTGAGGCCCAGGGGCACAGGATTAGCTGCTCTTCTCCTGGCGGGTCCTTATTGCTGTGCTGTAACAGCACTCCCCCCACCAGCTGCTCCAAGGGCTTTGGGAGTGTGGCTTCCTTCTCTGATGGCTGTGTTTGTCAGCTCTGTGAGCAGAGGACGTTCTCAGATCTGGAAATGCCATTTAACATAGATGCAGAGAAGGGCACTGGTGGGCAAGATCAGGCCAAGTTGCCCAGGGGACCATCTTGCTGTAATGGAAGAAACTGCCTGAGGTCAGAGGGGAGCCTATGACTGAGGTGTTCATTACGGTTACAAGATTAAAGATTTATACCCCGTCTGCTTCTTGAGAAGACCTTAAGCTCCTTCCCCTGAATGGTGTGGCAAGAATACAAGGAGGCTAAAC